TTTTGGCGGTCCAGTTACGAGATAGACGAAATTTCGCCAAGCAAGATTCTCAGTGCGAGAGATGCCAAGAAATATGACTATGAGATAATGAGTAAAGTGTTGTAAATTTATTTCGATGACTGGGTTGAGTAAATGATCATCTGTCACTCGAACTCGCGATGTAGCATGATTAATTGTTAAACGATGTGCAATACAATTGTCCCAGGTCAGGGTCATAGAGGTTGTTGCGATTAAACAAAATACAATTCTAGATATCGAAACCTGCGATCCTCTCACCTGCGTTTCCTACCTTTCTTCTTTCCTCTCTCAATAACCAAATACATAACTCTTCCTATAACTCCTTTCCTTATAAACGCTTTCGACTTCTCTGCGATCTCTCTAATTTCCTCCAACTTATCCATGACACTATCCGCATGTTTAGTTACTAACAACATTAATATCTGGCATAGTTTGGGATGCTTCGGTAATCTTTCAATATTCGAGCTTAGATAGAATAGTAATTTAGAGAAAATAGATTGACTTTGATTTGAAGTTGATGTGTGGGAAGGTTCGATCTGAAAGTTTTGGTTGATTAAAGTAAATACGATCTCAATCATCGAATCGTCCCACTGGGTTAAGTGTTGTGGAAGCGGCGGTGATGGTGATTGCAAAGTTAATGGAAATGGGAGAAAGATTGCCGATGCGGATGTACGAGAATCTGAGAATAATTCGCTGAAACAAAAATTATTTTTTTTTTTTAGAATTTCAAGTATAAAAAAAATTATAATATCACCAATACCTACATCAGTAATGCAACAATAGAATCATCATCTAACTCATCAATTGTTCTAGTTATAACCTCCAGCTGAGGGATCCCTTTATCAATTGAAATCGCAAAGAAAAAAGAATCCATTATACAGGAATGTTTGAGTGTGCTGAAGAATAAGTACCTCTACTGGATTGAATACCTATTTTGGATGATTCCACGATTAAAGGTAACAACAGTCCGTATACAATCGATTTGCTCTTTGCTTTTGCAGTATTTATGATTGTCGACAGAAAAT